CTCGCTCATCATTGGTGCCAAACACCGAACCACGAAAAATCCTGGACAATCCTGAAAGTTTCACATAAATAAGCCAATATTCTACTGAAATTTCCCCTAACCACACTGAAAAATTCTCATACTCGTCGAAAAATCACGAAGTTAACATCGAAAATATGGAAATATTGTTGGAGAACCAACGAGAAATGTCAGAATAAAAGTGAAAAAACGATTACCTTCACAACAACAACTGCTTTTTTCTGTGCTAAACCCAATTGCGCAGCTACAGCCAACGTCTCTTTACTCGTTTTATCGGTTGTGATGATTTCCAAGAGTTGCATTTTCTCAACCGGTGAAAAATAGTGCATTCCGATGATGTTCTCGGGTCGTTTCGATACTGCAGCTATCTCTGAGATCGGCAACGCACTCGTATTCGAGGCGATCACACAATGCGGTGGAACAACTCGTTCTAACTGAAACCACAAACAAAATTAATCCACAAAAACAAACAGAATAAGAAAATTCTCATAAAAGGGAAAATTTTCAGATGATAATATTGACCTGTTTAACGATGTTTCGCTTCAGTTCAAGCTCCTCGAAAACCGCCTCGATCACCACATCGCATTCACGTAAGTCTTCGTAATTGAACGATGTCTTCAGATTCGACATGTAATTGTCACGTTCCATTGCCAGTATCTTTTTGCGTTTCACCGCTCCGTTCTGATGCGCGTATATTTGTGCTAGACCCCGTGTAATACCCATTTCATTTTTATCGACCAGTATGGTTCGAATACCCTTATCGATGGTCACGTTCGCTATGCCTGCACCCATCAAACCCGCGCCGATAACAGCCAACTGCCTGCACATTTATTGTCTTACAGTTATGTAAATTAGCAAAACATTTCAAAAAATCCTTCTCCCAACAACTAAACACGTAAAAATTAGCGAAAAAAAAACAAATACAAATCATTTTAAAATTATTTCTCAAGAAGAATTTCTCCTCTCTGTTTTTCTCCCTTTTCTTCAATTCACATAAAATTCACTCGTCCCTTTATCATTCTACTGAGAATCGTCTTGGCCAAAACAAAAATAAAATGCCCAAAAAACGAACTCAGTTTTCTTTGCATCACCATATTTGTTCTTTTTACATTCATTCGAACCATGAAAAACACCGATCAACGCTTTGCTCTGCGTTGTTTGCGATAGATCTCCGAATGCCTTCAATTCAATTGTTACAAACCTTTCCAATTTTTGCAAAACTTCTACAATTAATTTCTCATTTAACGTCTCTTCTGAAATTTGGAGAAAAATTCCAAAATAATTTGAGATTTTTCAAAAAAAGAACATCAAAATACCCTCGACTCTGCATCGTAACCGGCTGTGCCAGTGGTCATCAGACCCTCTCGCACAACGTCCAGA